GAATAACAGGGCTAAGATCCTGTGGGACTTCCAGATCTAGACAGACAGGCAGGTACTGGACAATCAACCAGACATCATGGTAGTAGACAAGGACTAAAAAGCAGCAGTGGTGATAGATGTAGCAGGGCCAAGTGACAGCAATATGAGGAAGAAGGAGTATGAGAAGCTGGAGAAGTACGGAGGCCTGAAAGAGGAACTAATGTGGAAAGTAAAGGCCAAAGTGGTCCCAATGGTGGTAGGAGCAATCAGGGCTGTGACTTCTAAGCTGGGAGAGTGGCTCCAACAGATCCTAGGAACATCAGAGCTCTCTGTCCAAAAGAGTGCAGTGCTAGGAACAGCTAAGATACTGCACAGAACCCTCAAACCCCCAGGCCTCTGGTAGAAGTCTCAAGATTGAGGAAGACACATACCACCCATAGAAGTGAGAGGGGAAGTTTTTTAATATATAAAGTTATAGGACATAGAAATCACACACACAGTAAAGGAGGAAGTTTTCAATTCTTTGTTCCAGTGATCTTTTTCCAAATTTCAAGGAAAAATAGTCATTAAAAAGCAGAACGAACAACTCCCTAAAAAGCAAGTTTGTTGCTTTCCCCTCATTTAAGTGTCTTTAAAATGTATCAGAGCAGCCTTCAGGGTACACATTGATCAAAATGTTTACATGGGTCCTATTGTCATGTGTGGGTCACAGATACTATCCCCAATGTATCATTTTATTCTTAACTTTCATGCATTGGAAAAGCAGTTTTGTAGAAGAGATCCTGTGTTCATTCAAAAGTTCCCCCCATAATGTGAAATTACTATAATTCCATATAAAGGAAGGTGGAGTCTATACTTGTACGGTAGACATCACTCCACATGAAAATCCCTCAACTAATGGGTTCTTTCTCTCACACGATTGTTAACTGTTTGGTCAGGGGAAATATCTGAAATAGGAAGATGATACAAATAACATGTGGCCAGACCAACTCCTCTGTTATGCCTATTGTAGTCTGTGTTTCAACTAAACTTCCTCTTTGTACTTGTATTTATGCCACTATAACTATCTGCTCATTCATTTCAACAAGGCTTGCATCTCAAGAGCTTATATCCTAATACTCTACATAGTGAAATGGATTTTTCATATTATTAAAGTGAAAATCCTGTTGGAACCCTTTGATATATCATTAAATATCAGAAATGGAAATCTGAAAGTGCAACTGGACAGGTTATTTTTCCTACAGTATATCTCAAGGAATACTGGAGAAAGTTATGCGGGTAATTCATAGATAGATATACTTAGTTATATGGAAGAAAATTAAAGAGTTGATGACATTCTAATTGTTACTATCCAAGTTTGCTTTCTCTAATCTGACACCCTCCACAAGTTTAGGAAATAGAATTTCCAGAATTCTCATCACAGCCAACACATTTGAAACTTCTTAGATTGAAGAATAATACTATGGATGAGTATTAAATTGGTAGTCTTTAAATGAATATTTAATTGGCAGTCTTCAGAACTTAGACTGCAGTAGATACCAAATCTGAATAGACTCACTTATAGTTAGGAACCCTATTCTGTTATTTCAAAAGGAAAATGGAAGTATCTATAAAGAAATAGTTCAATCTCCAAGTAAATTCTCCAAGAGCTCTTTATTCCAAAGGTCAGATTATACAAATGCAAGCAAAGAGCCATAACATATTAAATATATTACATATTACCAAACGAAAAACTTCTAAAACAGAATAAACTCTCTTAATAATTTCTTAAACTACATATTTGGATTATATTAATTCAATCTTGATTCAATCTTCTTTCAGGTTATTGCTACTTTAAATTATTTCAAGAATTTGAAATCAGTTTCAAATTACTTCCCAATTCACTTATTTAATTTTATACGTGCACAAAATTTGTTTTGCTTTGGATCCAAAAATACAAAAAAGCTTAGCTGAAAAGAGGTGCAAAAAGGATTAGAACAAGTACATCCAAAGAAAAGGTTTGTAGGATGCAATTATAATGCTTTCAAAATCTTGAAACCAGAAGCTCAAAATACATCTGGCATTTTCTGCAAGAACTAAACAAAATCTCTGGGTAATGGTACAATATACTTATATTAAATGGATGTGAAGTTGACATTTATTGAAAATAAATGACACTGCAAAAATGCAGATATTTATTTTCTGAGTGGCATATATGTTCCAGTTATGACTATTTTATTAGGATGTACAAAATGATTGATGCAGCTGTAATCATTTTGTCTCATGGATTCATCCAGTGCTGGGTGAAAGTTATTCAATATAACACAGAAAAGCTAATGCATATTTTGATGGCTAGAAACATCAAGTTGTTGTGTTCTTCCATCTACTTTTAGAAGTATTGTTTATTCCCAAGAGAGTACTGGACTCCTGAGTTCTACCTTTGCTGACTTGATCTTGGAGGACTAACCCTTTCTAATTATTCTACAGATTATCATATATTTTTAAGACAAGTCTCCTGTGGAATTTCTTTTTCTTTAAAATCCCAAATGTTAGAGGGGATAGCTGTATCCCATACAGCTTTCCCTGAACCTATTTAACCTCCTCTGCTGTCTTCAGATGTAGCAGTGAAGATTATCCAGAGTTTAAGAAAATTTGCTAATTTACTTAACTGAGGGATCGCCTCTCCCCAATTACATCAGCCTATCCCATTAGATCTGGCAGAGAAAATATGCTATGGGTTCCATCAGCCAGGGACTTGCATTTGGTGAGTCCCAGGAGGTGGGCCTTCTCTGCCATGGCTCCCTCCTTGTGAAACATTCTCCCTCCTGAGGTTAAGTTCACTCCTTCCCTGCTATTGTTTAGGAAGTCCCTCAAGACCTGGTTGTGTCATCAGGCGTGGGATTCTTTGGGAAGTGGAGACATTCCTAGATGGCTCCACTATGATTGATATTCTGCTCTCTCCATGGGGTTTGTATATTGTAAAATTTTTGATAAGATTTTTATTTTAGTAATTACTTTTTATCTTTTTATAATGATTGTTTCTTATTTATTTGCTATTTTATCTGATTGTTGTACGCTGCCCAGAGTCACTTTGTGTGAGATGGGCAGCTATATAAATGTAACTAATAAACTTTTTTTTCATGTGGTAAGAGGCAGAACCATAACAAAAGGTCTTGGGTCTACTCTGAATCTTTCACAATCATGAATATATGTTGGCACAAATAAGGCAAAATAATCTGACTGAAGTGATGTTGATCTGATCTATAAACAAAGATTTCAAAGTCTCCAAATGCATCACAACATCCAAACAACTTTCATCTGCATCTGTGAACACTTTTACATTACGCACCTCAGGAAGTGAAACTCCTAAAGGGGGTAGAATCTGTTGGAGAAAAACAGTTTCAGCTACAAGATTAAAACTGTGAAAACACACACAACTAATTAAAGACATTCCTGTAAAGGAATCTGAATGTGTAGCTATCCTGTTGAACAAGTAAGCTGTCTGATTCTTCCATTACCTGTTAAGTAACTACAGAGTGATAATGTGGATTTATTTCATACTTGTTATTGTATTTATTTATCCAAAATAACTGGTTTGTTTTGTGTAGTTTACAATTTAGCACAATTAAATTGGAAAAGGAATAACTCAAAGAGATTAACATAAAATCATGAAAAACCGACTATAACCAAAAAAAAAAAAATTAAAACCCATCTACAAATGTCTGAAAAGAATCTACATCTGAATTTTTGGAAGAATAAATCTGAAGAAAATTTAGAGCTCAAGAAGATTTATATGGACAGTTGACCTACAAAAATTAGGATTAGGCTAACAATAGTTCATTGTTGAATATGAGAGCAAACTGTAACTAATGTACTTAGTGTAGGTGATTTATGACAATGATCTTGACCATCAAATATATTGTCTTTAAAGAGAATTCTGTGTGTAAATAGTTTTAGAATAACATGTTGTTGAAGTATTGAGTGACTAGACAGCAAATCAACCTATAGACACTCCCTGCAACCAGTCCTGCCTGAGTATCAAGCTACTGTGTTCTTCAAGGGGAATATAACTCCATCCAAAACAGTTGAACACTTTTACTTAAATCCAAGTAATACCAGCTATTATCACTAGTTTAATTTTCAGTTTGTTCAGCTTTATCTAGATAGTTTCCAACCACTCTTATCAAAATGGTTTCTAAATAATAGCTGAGTTTCCATTCACCCATATGCAAAGTCATACTGAATTGAGGTTCTGCCAATTGCTCCAGCACTTTGTCCCAAAATCATAAATTTAAAATAGGGCAAGATACCAAAAAGTAGAATTCTTCAGAATAGAGGCATCATGGATGCACCATGAATGCATCACAATCTTTTAAAGTGCTGTAAAAGAGATCACATTTACTCTCAAAGAATGATTTCCTATGCTAAAGTGCATAGAGCTTTCTAAACATTTTAATCAGAAAGCAAGAGTCATGGTGCAGCTGGTAAACAACTTCTGTTTATGTCTTCAGATTGCTTACAGCTCAAAGATATGTAAAAGCACAAGCAGACAGTTACTTCTACAGTTTGATGTTACTAACTGTTGTGGGTGACTTAAACTCTCTATTATTCTTACTTCATAAGCCTACAGTTATACTACTTTGTTTCCTTATTCTTTGTTTCTCCAAATACTAGGCATAATTATTTGGAAGCATTTCTATTCATTGTCTTCTTCTCATGCTAGAATTTTCTAGAAATAAAATGTGAGGTTTAGAAACATGATAGGGGTGTACATGATTACACCATGGAATCACAGTTCCACAATCACTTCAGTAATATGAATCAGATGTCACTTTAACATCTCTCCCAGTTCATTATTCTACCACTAAATCAATGCTGATATTCCACTTGTTACATGTGAGCTGAAAATCATTCCATTATAATCTGTTCAAAACATTAATTAATTGTGTCCAGTATTTGAAAAACTGACAAGTCTGGGTAAAATTCAGGCTAATTGAATAGTGTCAGTAACATTTTATTAGGCTGTTCATTCTACCACTGAACTTTGCTCAAGCAAAGTAGCAAATTGAAAGATGCATTGGTCAGCTTAGTTTTGACTAGAAGGAAACAAATGCTCAGGAAAAATGTTATTTCTGAGTTTTCTGTTTTGAAGTGCTACTGATTATATTGACAAATAGGCAGAGGAATTGTAAATGGGGAAAAAAGTTGATCAAGAATACATCCATGCATTGTGTCAATGTGCATTTCAGTTGCACATGCAGATTATATAAAATGAGCCATATATTCACGATATAATCTTATCTATTTTAGGCCAATATTCTGCTTTTAACATTGTTAGAAACTAATTCTGCCACAATACAAAATATAGGATTAAATTGAATTAAAGTTTCCTTAAAGATACTGCCAGTCATCTTCATTACGAGTATTCATTTTATGCATGCAATTAATTGGATCCAATGAACAATTTCAGAACTGAGTTATAGTCTTCCCCCTTCCCATATAATTAGAATATAATTACCCACAGGATATCAGAAAGATGCAAAACCTTTCTTCTAAATGCATCCTCATTAGGAAACAAATCTCAATGTACTCTTATTTGATCAGTGTAAATTAATTAAAATGTTACAGATATAAAATGAGGATAGCAATAAACTGGATCTGACATCTATTAAAAGATTATCATTTGAGATCTGCATGCACAGTTTATATCTGAAAATAATTTCATTTCAGTCACAAACTTCACCATAAAATACTGCATACACACTGTAAAATAAACTAAACTGTCTAAGAGAACCATTAAAATAAAATCAAACACAATCTAACTAACCTAGGCAGCCCTTACATCATCACTACCCAGACACCATGCAGAAAAATAATATTTTTAGAGCTTTCTTATAGGCCAGAGGTTGGGCATATTCTTAATCCTGGGTGGCTGGGTATTCAAAAGGGTGGGGCACCAATGAGAAGGCACATAGTTGAGCCCCAACCCTCAGATCTTGCAGGATGCAGACCCTTACATATTTATGGTGGCAAGGAGCAGAGTCTGGCTGGAAAAGATGTCCTGCGTGTACTTGGAGTCAAGCCATGCTGGGTTTAAAGTTGCTAAGCAGTACCCTGAACTGGACCTAGAAGTACACTGGAAGCCAGGTCCAGTGCCCACAGCATAATTAAAACAGTGTTGAACCTGCTACTTTGTTAGTAGATATTCTGCCACATTTTGAATAAGGGGAAGCTTCCAAGTCATCTTCAAGGGTAGCCCTGTGTACACTGTTATAGTAGACTATATATAAGTTGACAAAGGCATGAATAATTGTTGCCTGGCAGACTTGATGCAAAAGGCTTGCAATCAGCATGCTAACTGGAGCTGTTCTAGCACAGCTCATGAACCTAGGAGGACCTTACCATGGATCCTGTCCACAAAGAAAGTTGGAACCGTGATCAAGCCAAATGAATTACTAACAAACAGCAACTTTCTCTTGGTGGGATTAAACCTGAGGTTTTTTTGTTTGTTTTTTTACCTATAGCTGCCAGACACCAGGCCAGGACTTCCACTGCATCCCTGGTCTAACCTGGGGTGGCAGTACAGATGGGTATCACGAACATATTGACCAAATCACTGAATTCCCCCAATGGCTTCATGGATATGCTAAATAGCATGATGAGAGGATTGAACCCTTGGAGGCCCACACTGAAGTAAAAATCCTGCAAATGCTCTTTCCTTCACACATATTGTACACTGACTGGAACTGTCCACTTAGGAAAGAATAGAGCCACTGTAACTCATTGCCTCAATTCCTAACCCTTGCTGGCAGTCTAGAAGGAAACTAATAGGTCTAATAGGACCAGAAGGGGTGCGCTACCTCCATGTAGCCCCAAAGGCATCCAACAGGGCACCACTTCCCCCCCCCAAGCCACAAAAATAACTTAGGTGGGGCATGGATCAAGCATATAGATGGATTAATTTTATTTACATCCTCAGTCTCCAGAAGCTTAAAAGAATCTCTGATAATCTCACAAGACAGGATCCTGATCTTATTGCAAGAGTCTACCCAACTGGGGTCATGCAAAAGATTTTATCTGCAAAATAACTCGCAAACATATCACAGTATCCTGTAAAAGGAAACTTCATTCTCACATTTCCCCAGGAGGGAGTGGGTACCTGAACAGAGCCCTTGGATGTGAGCTGGCAAATGCAATAAGAGCAGAAACGTAAGAATGGTTATCGCCACAGTATCCTCTCAAATATGGTTATGCAACTATGACTGATGGAGTTCACACTTCATTTTTCATCACCATCACACTAGGTATCTCTTCACTCATTTCATCTCCCACAGCTACTCAGTAAAACAAGGAGTATCTGTTGAAATGATGGTGCTATAGCATTATGCACAGCATTGGACCTAGGAGGAAGATGCTGTTTAGTCTGAAATGTAGAAGTCAAATGGAATGTCTGCAAACCATGGTCAGGTTTTCAAACATTCAAACATCACTTACAGTGCATAGGCAGCAGCAAGATGAATCCAAGTCTGGAGCTTAAAACAGCAGAGGCAAAAACTACAGATTTAAAGGAGCAGTTGTAAAAAACAGTCAAGAAGTAAGCTAAAGTTCAGGAGTCCAAGGAAGAAGCTAGAGCAATGTTTAGGATTCATATAAGGAAATCTTGTAGACTACACACAACGAAGACTACAACAAATGTTCAGCAACATCTTTTTGCTTAAGATCTTTATGCAAAAGACTACACCTGAACCCAGGTGATTAGCCCTTAATGGAGTATAAATTTCTCAGGAGAAAGTTCTGACTCTGAATAAACCTTTACTCCCAAAGAGCCCAGGGTTGAAGCCTTGCATTTCTGCACTGATTCATACATTGCATCACCCTGCAACAATGCCATTCTTGTGGACTTAGAGGTCTGTCCTCTGGAGCAGCTGTTTGGACTACAGGTTTGGAACAGGTAGCTGGAAATGATTTTGCCCCTGTCCCCAGTCAAATATTAGAGTGAGAAAATTTCCCTTGAGTCCAAGGATTTCTTATCTAACAGAAAGGTTTCCTCCTTTTCCTCTGCAATAGATTCATCCAAGGGCTTATGACAGGAACCCACTTAATAACGACATCATTAGCTGCATCCAGATAACATCCAGATGCTCTGCAGAGAGGGGGTGTATTGAAGGCTCCATTGGTTATTGTGGAATCAGTCTATGAGTAACATCACTTTTCTATTTTTTTCCAGTGCCTTTTTAAACATTTTCGTTAGTATTTGCACCATTATTTGCTGGTCTCACTAGCCATATGATTCAGCATAGCACTAACAGTATGTAACATAATTCACACTGGGCATTTCATCCACACATATTATGATAATATATATCAAATATGAAGGATCGAGATCGAAACAGAACTGCAGCAACAATGCATAAGAAGTATTTCTTGTACTTTAAAAAAAGATCTAAAACCTTCATACTTAAAATGAGCACACTGATCACTTTATAAAATATATGTGACAGGAAACAAAAAAAGCTGTTTTGTTTGATATTCTGTAGTGAAATTAAAAACCTGGCAAGTGTATATTATGCAGCTTTGCTCATTTATTTAAAACCTCATATATCCAGTTGGTGAAGACATCCTGTTTCCTAATGCTAATCATTATATTCTATTGCTAAATAATATGCTATTCCAAAATCACAAAATAAGTTATCACATAAGTAAGAGTGACTAGTGTTTCCAAAAGAATTCAGTTCCATCTATGGAATAATTTCCTATTAGCTTTAACACCCAGGCGCTTATATTCAAAGGCAACATAATTTTGAATTCCAGATGCAAGGAGATACCATGTTATAAGCTTCCCAGAATATATCTGGTTATAGTTGGTTAGCCAACTGAATTCTGCACAATTGAGGCAAGTGACCTATCCATATCCCAAATTACCTAGTAAGCTGGACCTCAATTAACTATTTTAGGATTGCAGCAAAACCTGAGAGATGAGTACAGAATCTAAATAAATCCTTTTCCCTCCCAACAATTACCATTCTTAAATCAAATTTGCTGCCATGCAATTATACACTATACTCGGAATAGCTGCTCTGTTCCACAAATTTTTTCATTTCTCATATTTGCAGAGATTCTGGCTGTGCTTGGATTATATTAGTCTAAGCAAGACTTGAGCTACCATGTTCTTTCTCTTCTGGTATAACAGCAAGGTGATTACAATCATGATTTTCATTTTAGGCTAATGTGATTAATGTGCAGCACAAATCCTGAATTGTGATAAACCTTAATTTTTGTTAGTTTGAAGAAGCCAACTTCATAAGCTATTATTTGAAGTTAGCTTGTTTCAACAATTTTAATGAAAGTTCAGGTGACACATCAAGTTATAGTTAAACTAAAATGCAGGTGAAACCTGGCACACTCGTTTCATAGGCCTGTTATAGCAAGGGACAGAAAACATTACTGAAATTTCTTGTTATAATATCAAATTATGCTTTCACATATCTGAATCAGCCCTAAAAGAAAATACATATAGATTGTGCTAACAAAGCAATGCTACACTTATAACTTCTTTATATAATATATACTTAATTACATAATTCATAGATCGAAATATAGTGACTATTACCTTACATTGCTTTCAAAAACATTTAGATAATTTTAAGGACAACTGTTGTGTCAGTGAAAGGGATTACCATTGGACACAGTTCAGCTTCTATTAGATTAATGGGTAATTTACCATTTTCTTCAATGGAAAATCATTAGGAGAAAAAACACTGGCATCAGGTATGAATTTTGCAAAATTTACTATGTCAGCTTTTTATTTGTCCTAAGGCCTATTTAAAGCAAACAAGATGCATTTATAAGAATTACTAATAATATTGTTCATGACTACAAAATATTTAAGATTTAAATGAGCATATTAATTTACTATATACATCCTGGAAGACATTAGTATTCTGTATCTTTACAACTCCATCATAAAATCACCAAATGTTACATTTGACAGAAGAATCTGCTTCCTGAATCTTCACCTTATTTTATTTACAACTTGGATGGGGAACCCTCTGGTCATTCAAATGTTGATGAAATACAATTCACAGAATTCCACAATATTGGCTATGATAAACTGGAATAACTGGTACCTGTAGGTCATTAACACCTGCAATGTGTAATTAAAGCATACTTTATAAAGAAAAGTGGGCAAAAAGGGGACAAACATTTGGGTACATATCAGATGTTAGAGAGTTGTTTTTTTTTCATGTCTGAAAAATAAAAATAGCAAAATCCTACATAGCTTTTTTGATTCTTCTATTAAGATTACTCATATTGCCCTTAACACTACAAAATTCTTTGCATAAACACATACACGCACAATTTCTTCCTGAAGTATGCCATGGTTGAAATAAAGTGGCATTGTTGTCGCTTGATACAGAAAGTTACAAATTGTTATATTCTAATGTGGTCATTCTTACAATATAGCCACTGATTTGAATGGGTCCTAAATTAACCATGACTTGCTAGTCTCATTGACTTCACTAAATCAGCCTTGGGTTTATACATGCTACAAACTATTGTTACTTTATCCATGAGTTTTTGTACATATTACATTGGCCTAGTTCCGGTATAACAGTATAGAGTATGATTTACAAAGACAGGATTTATTTTATTTTATTTTATTTTATTATTTATACATACATACATACATACATACATACATACATACATACATACATACATACAAAGACAGGATTTATATTTCACTCCAGGCCAAACAACTTATAGTCATGAATTTGCTAAACTGTGTTTTTTAAGAATCAATTTAAAGATTGATAAATCCTAGTGTCCAACTATTCTCTTCATGTATATAATGTGGATATGCTGCTTGCTACAAGAGTAAATGCCATTATTCTGGATAATCTCTGGCTGAAGTCAGAGTACTCAGTGTTAATGTCAACCCCAAGCAAAATGTGCCTATAAGAACTCTAGGAAGCTAGATATTTTGGGAAGCTAATTCTATAAAAGATGTAGGATATATAAGAATTGTGCTTGTTCAATGACTGGTAAATTTGGGTGGTGAAAGCAAAGTGGGCTTTACCTACACGGAGGCAGGCAATCTTTCTGTGGGTGTGCATTATACATTTGTTACGTTTTGTTTGTTTTCATATCTAAAAACCACAGTGAGCAGGATTCTGTCATCCAAGTACACATGGTCCCATCACAAAAATAGGCAAGACTATTTTCTGGAATTTCTTAATTTTGTTTCCTTTTGGGAAAGGGTTATTTTAATGACAAAAAAAAAAACCAAACATGGCTCTAACTGTCAATGTTTGGTTGCTGAATTTTGATAGCTTAGTCAGAAGAGCCTCTAGGGGCTGCAAAGAAGCATTATGAAAGTTATATATCCAAACCATATGGAGACAAATACAACATATGAAGAACATTAATTTATTCTTCATATGTTGCAGTTTCTATTGTTAGTGAACTACTATTTTGTTAATACTGTGCTGTTAGCAGTAAAACTGCATGATATAGCTTTCACCAATCTTCACACATCAGTCCTGGCTTATAAAAGTTTTAATGCAAAATGATCTGTTAGAATGAATAAGAACTTACCAATACGACTGGACAGATTGATGTGGGAGGTAGAATGTGATCCTTTAGAGAGCCACAATCACATTCAGGTTTTAAGTGTGAAGCACACTTATTATGTAGCTGTAACAAAAAAGAGAAAAAAATATCACTATGGATTAAAACATCAGTGAATCTAAGTGTGGTAAAACAACATCAAAATATATTGTGTTTCAAAATACTTAAAAGACTCAAACCCAACAATTGCAGAAACCCTGGCTTTGTTTTTATGTTATAGTAATCACAACATAACAGATAAAGGAAGGAGGTTACAAAGTTAGCTTCTTTAAAAGGCTGAAGTTAACAAACACTTGATGACCTAAAACTAAAAGAGCTACATCCTATTCTATTTTTTTTCCTAGAGAGTATATTTTCTTAAACTATATTATTTGTTTCTTTGTATGTATGTATGTATGCATAATCTGCCTTTTCTCTAGGAGCTCTAGGAATGTGTTTACCTTCATTTTAACCCCAGAACAAATCTGTGAGATACGTTGGGATGAGAAAGTGACTATCCAAAGTTACCTAGTGAGTTTTCACGGCTAAGGGTCACCCATTCTTAGTCAGCAGGTTAACCTCTATCCAACACTGGTTCTGATGCTTAAAGCATAGGACTTCTAGTCTGTTATAAAGAACTGAAAGAAAGCTGTTGGCCAAAGAGATTCCACATGCCTCTAAAAAAAAAAAAAACCCCTTTGCCTTCTAGTAATTGCTTTTTGAGAAAAGGATTTAAGCTTTTTCTCAATTATTATTTTTAAATATATTATTTCTGTAACTGTTGTTGCTGTTGCTGATGATGGTAACATGTTAGAAGTAATATTTTGTTTTGCACGTATAGCTAATGTTTGTTATCACCCTGGTACATGGATATCTAATTCACAGACTGGATGAAATTGTTGCCCATCCACATTTTTCATCAGTCAACTGGGTAAAATATTGTTCACACAAACATAGATACCCACACGTAGACATATAGAGAGAGGAGAGGGAAAATGGCACATATAGATCTTCTGGATATGTAAATGGATTATTCAATAATATTTCCATATCCTGGTGTAAAACCAATAAGAAAAAAAAAATAAACTTGAATCTGAGAATGTATTGTATTGTTGATTAAAAGTAAGACCAAGTAAACAAATGCTATTACCACAATTTTAAGCACGTTTAGTGAAAAGTAGATCCCATAATTAATCCTTTGAATTTTGTTTTAATTGTAGTCTTACAATATAATCCTAGGCAACTCTATTCAGAAGTAAGGCCTATGTAGGTCAAATGAATTTATGACTAAGTTAATGCATGTAAGTACTGCAGACTAAGGATAGAACTCTAAATTCACTTATCTGAGAGAAAGCCTCTGAACTCAGTAGGAATTGAATAAATATAGAAATGTGCTATAAAATATTTAAATTTATTATATATAAACTGAAACAAGACATTTTGACAACTTTGATCATGTATAATGTTGCTCAGGCCTTCCTCCTAATATATGAAGTTCTATTGATTTTATTTGTATTTATTGTGTGGATGTTTTATTATCCTTTATGTTTTATGTTTTCATAATTCTCTTAGGGATGAATGGTCTAGAAATATTTATAATAAAATAATAAAATAAATTACACAAAAGTGAACTATAACAGCATTAAATGTCTATCACATTAATACTCAAATAAAATTACTTGGAAATAAGTAGTTGTTGACTAACATGAGGTGGATAATTTAGCCTCCATGTTCATTTGCCATTAATTAGCATAGTTTTATATCAATATTTTTTGCTATCAGATATGCCTGCTTTAATTACTGGGAAATATCCTAACAAATTAAGCATACAAATTGGATGTTTCTCATTTATACAACATAGTGTAATAGGTATCACATAAGTATTTGGCTTAACAGGTGCTGTTCCCTCGATACAGTAAAACATGTTGTCTAGCAGCTGTTTCATAAATCACTATTCTCTGGTTTGAATGAAAGATTTATTTTTCTTTGGATAATTTATCCATGTTTATGAGACGAGATTGATCTATCAAACTTATGATATATTAGTTTAAATATGAAATATGCACCTTTTGCCAATTACATATTCTTTAGAGAGAGATCTAGCAAAAGATAATTTGACCGCTATATTTTTGAATTTGAAAATGATTGGCAACTAATAACACCCCTGTCTACATTAATCATTACTGTAAAAATACCTTTTTCTGGCAGTTTCCTAGCAACAGAAAAAAGTATCGTAATTTTTTCCCCCAAGTACTGAAGTTTTATTGTGGTCGCCCTATAATCTAAAACATTTGTTATGTTAATTCTCTTTTTTAATAGTGAAGCCACATTTACCATAATTAATGTACACTAAGCCATGCACCATCCAATCGAAGCATCGTTACATATGAGGTGATAATTAAGAGTTCTGCTACTTTGTAGTATGTTATCAATAGCTTAATCTTCTTATTAGGCAGTACTGATCTTTGAGAAAACAAGATGTAAAAGGAGTTGGTTAATATTAGATTATAGAATGCAGAACAATATCATAGAATAATGTTAGAGAGACGCATGGGTTATCTCACTAAGAATATGTAATTGTAATTATTGTTTCTATCACAAATACTCAGGATATATTCCTTACTTTTTCAGAAAATCCTTTGGTTATTTTCTTCATGATTTAAACTTTATTTAATACTACTTTTTTTATACTACTTTTTTTATTAATCCAGGACACTGACCAGCTGCAAATAAACCACCAGCTTCTGGTACCATCTTTACTTCTACAAACAACTATTACGTATTGCGTGGGCTTCAGAAGCGTTCTTAATAAAAACAGTGAAGAGCTGAAGCCCAATGATGCACTTTGAAATATTCCAGTGGTTTTAAAAAAGCAAAAAAGGTAAGGCCCATCTGGCAGAGATTGTCTTGGAAAACAGAATTCATGAGGCAGATAGAAAATGTAGCTTTTTCCTGTGTTGCCTTTGGGCATGTGGAAGGGAGCATTTATTCTGATGTGGGAATGGCAAGTGTTGTTTGAAAATGTTATTTCTGAGGACAGAAATGCTGTATATTTTGTCTGACATTTGTCTATGATGTTTATATTCGCTTTCTCTGTTTTCTTTTTGCCTATCACATATGTATGTATTATAACTATGAATGGCCGTACCAACCTTAGCAGCCATTTTTCTGTCAATGAGAAAGCCACCTGTTCATCCTAAAGTTAATTTTAAAAAATCCAAATGAATTAAGACTCACATTAACATCAATGGTTAAATGGTTGCTCCATTTTTTTATCTCACCATCATAAGGAGTTTGTGTCATGATGTCACTGTACATGCACAACTATTTTGAAATACTTTGGTGCAAACACTTATGGGCGTGCATGTTTATTTATTTATTTGCTGTTTATTTATTTATCAACCCCATTTGTTGCCAGTTTTAGAACAGCACTTGAATAGTTATTTATTAGCAGTAGGTAGGCACAGTGCTGTAATATGTCAGCCTGTATAATCACTTCTACTGGTATTTCTGCAAAATACTTACTGTGATTTGGCACCACACACAATGTAGCCCAGTCAGTCCTTGGTAACATTTAATAGTTTTGTGACATTTATCACATTTTGTTGGACAATTTCCTTCTACCCAAAAGTGATGCATAACCTAGAAAAGTGCAAGAGAAATTATGTTTTACACCAATTTATACAAAATAACCTACTGTCAGATAAAGAAACATCACAATGTTAAATAGTTAAAGCACTGAAACCATAATATACAAGGGATAAGCAGGTCAATACATAGGTGCTAAAAAACTAGCAATACAGTCAATTAAAAACCTTACTAAATAGTAAGGTTTCAATCTGGGGTCTCAACACATGCCTTCCAATCTGTTTTGGGAAAACATTTTCTAGATTAAATGATTAATCCTGATCCTATTCTGCTCATTCTTTTTCCCCAAAATATATGGGCCTCTCAGATAACAGCCCCAGAAAATTACCTTAAATGAGTTTTTTTTAAATTAGTGGAAGGTGTAGTTTAGTTATCCTGTATCATTTAGAGTGTTAAAGAATTAAGGAAGAACTTTGAATTGAGGCTGGAGACAAAATTGCTGCCCCAGTTGAGCAGGAAAGCATTCCTTCTTTTTTATTACGAGGTAGGTACTATTGCAGCCAACTCTAATCTGTATTCTTAATTGATGTGGACTGTGTAATTCCCCAAAGAACATGCTAACTGGCAATTCTGGGAATTCCAATTCTAGTGCATATAAAGGTCACATACAGTACATACTTCCAGATATTTATCAAATTGCTCAGACAAAAATATCAAATCTAGACTGGAGATGCTATATGCATGGGATAGAAAGTCTCAGTACAGGAGAATATATGTAGCTCAGGGTTGAAGTGTGGAGTCCTTGGGGTTCTCTGAGCTTGGTTGTTTTCTTGCAAACTTTTCCTTACCTGACTAGGTAACACCTTCAGTGCTAGAATGGGGTGGGGTTTGCTCTCTGTTTATATATAGTGGCATGATTATTATTAATAACTGGTTGTTGTTGTTGTTGTTGTTGTTATTACCCCCCCCTCCCCACACAGAATCATCAGGTGACAAAATCTGATTCTCTTTCCTAGTCAATTGACTTTTTGTGCAGCACAGGACTAGCTTTCAGAGTCTTTGTCCTATCTTTAAAACATGGGTCTAGTGCTCTTTTAAAAGAATGCTAAATTGGTGTATATAAGGAGCAAGAGTACCAGTTCTAGCAAGCACTTCAAAAAGCACTGGTCAGACATGAGGCAGACAAAGGCTTCTGCAGAGGCCTGGCATCCAGCATCACCTGCAGCCAAAACCGAAATGGCCATAGTGGTCAGTGTCCAGAGACTGGACAAGTGGAGTCATGCAGCTTAAAGGGACCAATTCCCCAATTCCTGATTGCATAATCAATCATATCATTGATGAAGCATGCTAGATAACATCTATGACAAAGTTTGTGTCAGAAGAAGAGAGAAAACACTATTTTAACACTAGAATAGTTAAAGACTCATTTAAGCTGTACATGAGGTGAAAGCAACATTGTGATAAAAAATGAATGCTGCTATATGTTGGTGCCAGAGTTATGGGGACATTAGGATGAGACCCAAATCTCCAGAAATGTCAAGGCATGGAAGCATTATGGAAGTTTCAATAACATTATGCCTTAGATTAGTCCAAATAGCTCACATGAAGAGAATGTTATATAGCTACTTACAAAGATGCCCAAGCTACATTTGGCACACATACTGACAGATTCCTGTACAAGTATACCTCCCCCAAACACATATAGGCACAATCCAGTCATGAATATCTTGCCTTCGCAAATATACATACATACACAAAGGCACACAAGAACTGCATAGACATGAATGCTGGCTTACTTCAGTATTCTTTTTCGATTTCACATATGTTTTGATACAAGAAGCTGGTGCTCTTGAAACACAACGTTCATGGACAGTATACTTGCAAACTAAAAGAAAAATACAGTTGTTATGCAAAGTTGTGTTGAATAAACATGAATTAGCAAAGGTCTATTTACAACTCATTCTTTACTGGACTACAAAGAATTGCATCCAGTTATTAACGCTAAAAGAGAAAAGACTGTCCAGTAAATAAAATAACATATAAGCAGAGCTGGAGAAGAATCTAAGAGTATTCTTTAATAGCAACATTTGATTAAATCAGCCCTCACTAAGCTGTTCACAATAATTCTTAAATGAAGTAAAATAGATGGAAGAAAAGTAATTGGTAAATGCCAAATGTTTTCCCATCATTTGCCAAGAGGAAGAAATCTATATTTTCTAAACTATAGGCATGAAAGCAGCTGGTACACCCGAATATGAAAGGCAATGAGTTTGTCTTACTCTCTCTATTGATTTATCAACTATAAATGGCTAATTAGTTTTGTTTCCAGATAGCAGTTGTTGTCAATCTTTTCATTTCAGCATATTAATTCCAACTATTGCAAACTTTACTACTTCCTAAGAAACAGAAAAGGATCTAGATCTCCATTTTCCATTTTGAAAAGTATCATATGATTTTACAGAACATCAATATTACATTTTTGAGATGATGGAAGTTAAGATTAATGTGTCTCTATGACAAACATCTAACACTATTTTGTACAAGGAGTAATGTAATTACAGCAGTTGAGTTTGTCTCAGAGGACTCATTACCTTTTTATCGAAAAACTAACGTACATTAAAATAATAAAGTAAAATAACATAATAAAATATCTCTTCTAGTTTACAAATTATGCCTCCTCACTTTTTCTTCAATTGGAACTAAGGAAATGCTGTACGAGGAAATCTAGTACTGTGGAAAGCTATTAATCAATAGACTGAAGGAAGCAACTTGATTCATCAGCCAGAGAAGATTGCATGGTCATCCCTAAAGTCTCTGGAACCTTTTTTTCCACAACCACAACATAATAAAAGCTCTAGCAATGCCTCAGAAATAATAAATTGACTATTTTTACTGGCAGTAAGGAATCAGAGGAGTCTATCCTTAGCCAGTGATGTCAATAGATGCATGGGGAGGCAAAATTAAATGTTCAAAAATTAAACACAACACCAAACAGGAAGAGGCAAACAGAGAGAGAATGGAACATTTTCTTCAATCTCTTCCCTGTCTCCAGCTGCACTCTAAAGTGGGTAAGACTGAAGAAGTGTAGTTCTTCAAGTGACTATGTTCACTATGTTGACAGGCATTCAAACAAATTCCCTGAAAAGCTGCATTTTGAAGTAGTCCCCATGCTTCTAAGAATGAATGAAGCAACATATTGCTTCACTTTGTCTGTTTTCTATGCCTCATCTGGCATTTGTAAGTGCCATAGAAGGCTATGAGAAGACTGTGAGACAATGAGAAATGCCTCAGTAGGCAGACTATGCTGACTTTTTGTCTTGATGTGATGCACTATATTAACTTAATGGCAAAACACACCTCATTGAAGTGGATCAAAATTACCTCACATTTGTCTACTATTAATAAGCATTTAAACAGGATTGGACAATATGCAGAACTAGAAGATCTAAGTTCTTTTTATCTTCTAATGGACTGAAATGTGGCTTTAAGCAGAACCTGATTCAAGAGCCATTTACTAAGGTGTACAGCACTTGGGTCCTGGAGTTTGAGTACCAGAACTGAACTGAGCTCACAGACTTTTCATATAAAAATTTCCACTAATGATTACTGAAAGGTGTCTTCATTTCAGAAGTAATTTAGAATAGAAGGAACACTATTTTGTCACTGCTATTGTTAATCCATTTAAAGTCAGAAATGTTCCTTCTACCCACCTTTGCATTTAAAGATCAGTGACTGAATGGTGATGGGATGGGGAGGATAAGAAATAATCTTATTGCTAAAATAAAAAGGTATAAATAACAAAGCTAAATGACAAGAAAAAAAGACTGGAAATAAAGGAGTACAGTGTAGGGGAAAACAAAGCCTGGCAGATGACTTACTTAAAATCTGATCTGAGCACTTTAACAACTATAGGCATTATTTGTTAAGTTCTCCAAAATGAGGCAATGCAGAGTCATGCTTTCTAGCTCAGCAGTACCATCTAAATGCTAAAATATAACAAGCAACAGATGTCAGTTTTAGCCCTGTAGCATGACTACAGAATCTCTCCCTTGATGGGCAGAATTCTTTTACTCTGGGCAGGTAGAACTGAACTGTAAGCCTCTTTCCACACAGTTAGCTGAATATGACCTCTAGACTCATTAAGACTTTTTTTTTTCATAATGCCTAGCTCTGCGTGTGTCTGTGTCTATGTTTTACATCCATAGGAGTCAATATACTGTAATTTTTATCTATTTTATTGATGTGCTATACTGGATATTTACAAAGGGTGTGAACAACTGCACACACACGTTTGGATAGAACTCAAGTACAGTATTTATCTGCATTTTCTCATTTAAGACTACTCACAATGACCAAATCTAAAAACTCTTGGTCTAAAAAAAAAAATGCACTTATAAATAATTTTGTCCATGTAACATTCAAAGCATTTGCAGAATCATTCAGGATGCATACTCACATGAACAAGAGAGGCCCTGTTTGCCTACTCCGATTAGCATATTCAAGCAGAGATTACAGTAGGCAGGCTTGTTAAAGTGTTTTAGTCTCCATACATGCTGCCCGTCATCCTTCACATTCTGTAGAACACATAAAAAGAAATGGATTTCATTTAATGGTATAAACAGAGAAACCTCTAAGTGCCAATAAAAATTGAAATTGACTCAAGAACATAAAAGACAATCTGCTTCTTCATTTATTAATTTTCAAGCGATCACAACATAATTTTTCCAAACAGACATGTAGCGATATGGTAACAAAATCATTGGGGGGGGGGGAATGGGTGGGAGGAAAGCTCAGAACACTAAAAACTTTTTAACATGAACTTTTCTCCTTAATAAAATGGTCTGCCCAGGTAACACACACTCAACACTTAGGTCTCATTCTGCTACAGCTATGAATTCATGGGTCCCCTGCTGCATGAGGCTTTTTTCTTTAAATATTATTTTGTTATTGGTCTTTAAGTTTTGCACAGGTTATGAATTAGTGATGATGATTACTTAATGAAAACATCTTAATTAAAATTGAGATTTTTACTTACATAAAATCATAAACTCAACAAAAAGTCAAGAAAACAGGGTTTCAATAATAAAGTATTAGTCTATTCAATTGAACCTGAAATAATTGAGGAAGACATATTTCTGATTATACAATAGTAGAATTGTTGCTATTTATTCAAAAGAATGGCCACTACATGTGATTTTGCCTCTATGTGAACAGAACATATGGACCAACCTAGTTGGCATTTTTCTTATCAGAGAAACAAACAAGTCTGGAAGAGAGATGTTCTGCCAATGAAAGGAGTTAAGTGGGCTGCAGGATGCAACTGATCCACAGATCCTACTATAAAAATACAATACTCATTTAGAAGACAGTATACTAGACTTCCGGTCAAGATGTTACCCAAGCAGCAGTGGTCTCCTGAAACTGTGGGCAGGGACTCTTTTCAACCAGATCCTAAACCTTGGTTGAACCTTAGGAACCTTAGTTTCTCCACACATTCTGGAAATTTAAAACAATAAAATACAGTAAAATACAATCTTCTTGAAGCCTAGCAAGTCATATCCCATTCCAGTATGGGTCTTGACTAGATATAGACTTTCTTTACATATTCTCTTGAGTAAGATTTCCAGAACATTTGTCCTGATCATTATGAAAGACAAGTGCTTTATGGAAATGGAATGTCCCATAACCCAAAGAAAATGGAAGTGCTTTTGCTTCTTTATGTTTATCTGTTGAAATAAAAGAAACAATCCAATTGTTCATGAAACTAAAAAATGGAATGAATGTTAATATCAGTAATATATAGTATATGACATATGGAATGAAAAATTGGAATATCCAATTTTGGAAAATCAATGGGTCCAGCCCAAAATATGGAATTTGACATCTTATAAATAACTTTGGATCTGTCAAGCCTAGGGTTCAGCAAAGGGATTATTCTACAAAGTGGGGAAAAAAGTATGCTCTTGATGTTAAAGAGTAGATTCAAGAGTTGTGTTCCCTATTGATTTTTAAATGTCTTTATATTATAAAAATGAGAAGATGGAGCAGTACATTTCTATATGGTTTAGATTTAATTATATATAAAAAGATTGGGCTAGATTTATATTATTATATGGATCTCTTTTTTCTTCAGTTTTAGTTCACTTTATGTCCCCTAAATTCACTCTTATTTCTTTTTTTTTAATTGTACTTTGTTATATTATTAGATTTTGCATTCTATTTATTGTACTTTATTCTATTTCACCCCAAAATTTGTTGCTCTACTATGATATGAATAATATACATATTAGTTATTTATCAACTTTTTTAAAAAAATGTGTTTACTCTACCAAATGTCACTGCCATGATATGGATTTTTTATCCTATA